GGGCAATGGTTTTAAACTAAAAGAGGGCAGAGGTTGATTAGATATAAGGAAGCAATTTTTTCACCATGAGGGTGGTGAAACACTGGCCCAGGTTGCCCAGAGAAGCTGTGTAAGTGTTCAAGGCCAGGTTGGATGGGGCTTTGAGCAACCTGGTCTAGTGGAAGGTGTCCCTGCCCATGGCAGGGGGCTGGGCTAAATGATCTCTAAGGTCCCTTCCAACCCAAACCATTCTATGATTCTATGAATTGACAGTCAGAAGTCTTCTGAATAAGAGTAGAGTGGAAATCTAGTGTGCCAACATCAATTTCAATTTTGGTACAGCATGGGAAAAAATATGTCAACAGTAAAACAAACTGTCGGATACCCACAGGGGTTGTCTACACAAGACTAAGAGACAGGTGAGAGGTACTGCGATAGCGACCATTAAGGAACTAACAGGGGAATAGCTGTCTAACGCAGTTCCTACTTTCTTAATAATACTTATCAGTACTACAGCAATCCTCTAACATGTAGATTTCTTCTGAGGGACTTCTCACACTGACTTTCCAAACCTTTTACAAAGACTTTTACTAACCTCATCAGTTCTTCTACTTTGTCATCAATGTCCAAGTCCTCTTCAGAAGCTTCAAAGCTGTATGACCTTTGAGCCAAGCTGTTTGCAAGTGGGTAGCGGGTAGGTGACATCTTCCCATTGAATGCGGACAACCTCTCGTTACTCTCCCTCCCATTCTGATTAGTAGTGCAAGGCTGTGGGGAGGTGTCGTAACTGTTGCTCGGTGATGGGGACATCCCAGAATGCTGGGTCTGTGTTGAAGCTGTGGCTGTAGAGGAAGATGCTGGGACATTGTTGGTACTGTTACTGTAGGAACCACCTCCGTAGCTAGACCTTCTGCCAAATTTGTCACTATGCTCTTGATCAAGACGATCCAAGGTTTCCAGCGCGTGGAGGATTTCATGTCTGGTCATTCCTGTACGTCTCAGGCGCTGAAGCAGGTCTATCTGCTCTATGGTAAATCTTGGTTCATCTGTGTAGTGAGACATCGTTTCCAGCAGACTAAAAACAAGGTAAAATGTAAAAGCAAATACTTCAGTTCAATAGTTCTCTGTGGTACAGGGAAAGTACCTTAGTCACAGGAAAGACCAATTCTGGTCCAACACTTTAAGTCACACACATGACACAGCTGGCAGCCCAACAATCCGCCTCCAAATGAGTTCAGTAGGCAACTTCCCCTTGAATGCTAGTCTCCCTATGTGGCAGAAGGGCTTATT